TTCGGTCGAACAGCAACTCTTCATCCACCCAGGTGTGGAACAATGTATCAGCATCCATTTGAGCCACAAATTCTGTCTTGGCGTACTGGTCTAAATAAAACTGGGACCATGCCACCCGCTGCCACCCAGCACGTTTCGATCCACCACGTCTCAACTGAGCCCAGCGACCCAGGGAAGCCGGAGGCGCCTCAAACACAACACGAACCCAATCAGGAAGCAAGGACGCTGTCAGCCATCTGTCCTGAGTTGACTCTGCGTCCAATACAATTACCACTGGCCATCGCTGCCATGGCCAAAACAATTCCACGGACCGAAGAAAAGGCAGAAGCGTTTGGAGAGCGCCAGAAAAGGTGCGCACAACAAGCGTTACGCCAGCGCTGCCATGAATCATGGCAGCTGTACACCAGTGAGCCACTCGAGACTTCCAGCTTCACTTGGGCCACAAGCCAGATGTACACACGTGAAAATCTAGTGTCACCAGAGTGAGGAGGTCCAAACGGTCTTGCTTCTCTCCTGCGCGTGCGTGGCTGGATGGAGGGTTCCGTTTCTGGGGGCGAGACCTGGGGGCGGTACATGGGGGCAGTACTCGGGGACGACGCACGGGGGGCGACACATGTGGAACGAAACATGGGGGCGATGCTCGGGGCGGCACTCGAGGGCGATCCGTGGGGGCCATGCACGGGGTCGAAACGTGGGGGGCGATGCATGGGGGCAGTGCGCGGGGGCAAGACATGCGCAGGCTTGGCCACCGCCGCCGCCCCCTCACTCGTATCCTCAAATGCGGGGTGCTACGTGGTCATCGTGGGGCCATGACATGTTGTTGCGCGCTCTGGGGCAACGCGCTGTTCGTGCTGCGCAATAAATCCACAACCGCCACCGCGCTTGCAACGGCTGGTGTGTATGTGTGTGTGTGTGTGTATGTGTGTATGTGTGTGTGTGTGTGTGTGTGTGTGTCGGGCCCTTGGTCTTTCCGTCACCTGCGCTTCCTGCGAAGCAATAATGAAAGCGCCCCGACGCATCAAGCCCAACCTCGACCTTCTCGATCGGAAATCGTCCCAAGTACAACATTCTCGGGGAGGCCAGCGTCCATGGCCCCTTCCCCCTCCCTGGGCTCGCGCCGCCCCCATGGCGGGCGGCTCCAAGAGGGCCTCCAAGAAAATCAGGATGACCTCAGACGAACTCGAACTACAAAATCTTGCAGGATGTCCCACGCCGCGGTGGAAAAAAACCTCTTGACCCTCGAAGACACATATCACCTGAAAAATATTTGTTTGACCCCGCTTCCATACCCAGAGACGAGAAATACCCCGGGAAACTCCCCGGAAGGTCCTGGGAAAGTCCGGGCCAGAGATGGTTTTGCTCCTGGGTGCGGCCTTCCAGGCCCCCAGAGCGCTCCAGGAGCGCTCCAATGGACCTCCAAGCGAACCCAAGACGGTCTGAGACGGCCCAAGAGCGCTCACGGACGCCCAAAATTCGCCGGCCCGACGGGCCAGAGGCGTGCTAAGATCTCCGGTAACTGGTAAACAGTATTTCTGGTTCGCGCGCGCGGGGCGGCCCCTGGGGGTCCCTGGATCAAAAGTACCCCGAGAGGAGCCCGAGAGGAGCCCGGGACACGCCCGGGACACTCCCCCAGATCCTCCAGGATCGCCCCAAGAGGGCCCCAAGAGGCCCCCAACACAATCCAAGATAGGTCCGAGACGCCCGAAGATCGCTCCACGGCGCCCAAGATGGCCTCCAGACAGCCCAAGAGGTCTCCAAGATGACCAAACAAGCCTCCAAGATGCCCCAAGAGGCCTCCAGGAGCACTCCCAAGAGGGCCCCAAGAGGCAACAATCAATGCTTTTTCTTTGGTTTTGGACAGATTTGGGCGTTTCAACCTTTTCGGTTCCCCGATGCCCCTAAACGGCTCAAGAGGCCTCCAAGATCGCCCCAAGAGGGCCCAAGGGGCCCTCAAAAGGGCCCCAAGACGGCCCAAGACGGCTCCAAGACGGCCCTGGAGGCCTCCAAGACGGCCCAAGAGGGCCCCAAGAACGCCCCCAACACGGTCCAAGAGAGGTCCGAGACGCCCGAAGATCGCTCCAGGACGCCCAAGATGGCCTCCGGACGGCCCAAGACGTCTCCAAGATGGCCCAAGAAGCCTCCAAGATGCCCCAAGAGGCCTCCAAGAGAACTCCCAAGAGGGCCCCAAGAGGCAAACAACTGTGTTTTTCCTTTGGTTTTGGACAGATTTGGGCGTTTCAACCTTTTCGGTTCCCCGACGCCCCTAAACGGCTCAAGAGGCCTCCAAGATCGCCCCAAGAGGGCCCAAGAGGCCCCCAAGAGCCCACTAAGAGGCCCCAGGGGAGCCCAAGACGCCGCCAAGGAGCCCCAAAACGCTCCCAAGAAGCCCCCAAGAGGCCCCCAAGACGGCCCCAAGAGGCCCCAGATAGCGCTCCAGGGCCGGCCGAATGAGCGAAGCGATTAAATAATCTCTGGATCGCCCAGGGCGCCTCCGAAACGCCTCAAGAGAGCCCGAGAGGCCTCCCAAGAGACCCCAGCAAGCCTCTCAAAAAAGACTTCAGTCCAAGTCCGAGGCCTGGCCGACGGCCACTCAACACTACGTGCAGTATGGGCCAGCGGAATGAGCAAAGCGATCCGCCGCCCCACCAGGTACGGCGTGTGAGATCTCCACCGCGTGGTCTGCAAGGAATGCTTTCCGTAAGTCCTCTCACCAGTGCACTTTTCATACCCATCCCTGTCTCTGAGCCCATCCTGCTCATGCTCCTGCTCCTGCTCTTGCTCCTGCTCCTCCTCCTCCTCCTCCTCCTCCTCCTCCTGCTCCTGCTCCTGCTCCTGCTCCTGCTCCTGCTCCGGCTCCTTTTCTTCTTCCTCCTCCTCCTCCTCCTCCTCCTCCTCCTCCTCCTGCTCGCTCCTCGCTCCTCCTCCTTCACAACCCCTCCTGGGCTCCTCCCCGCGGCCGGCCCCTTCCGCCGGCCCGAGGGCCCCGGCTCCAACGCTGGGGCGCTCTCGGGCCACCACTTCCGTCCCAAGACGAGCCCCCTTTCCGTGTGCTGGGGTGCCGGGCGCCGCCAGGCCCTCTCGGAGACCTCGCCGAGGAGGAACGAAGACGAGACCAAGGGAGGAGGAGGAGGAGGAGGAGGAGGAGGAGGAGGAGGAGGAGGAGGAGGAGGAGGAGGAGGAGGAGGAGGAGGAGGAGGACGGGGCCCTCCTGGGCTGATCTTGACCGTCCCTGCGGCCACCCTGGGCCGTTCCAGATGCCGCTCCACCTCTCTTCGAGTCACATGCACCAGAAAACCTGAGCAAGCCAAACACATAGTAAACCACATCCGATTTTGACGATTCTGGCCTTCCCGGGCTTCTCCGTGCGCCTCCCTTGGAGCTCTCGTGCATATCTGCGGGCTCTTGCGGCCATCTTGGACCCTGCGGATGCTCTCTGCGGCCGTCCTGGCAGCCTCTCGGGACCCTCCTCGGCCGTCTGTTCGCCTTCTTGGCGCGCCTTTTTCGGCTGTCTGGGGCGCCCCCAGAGAGCCCAAGGGGGCCCTTCCAGGAATCATAAAAACTAAATATGACTGTTTTTTCCCCCTCCCGTTTCCCTCGATCACCCCACTCCGCCGCACTCGACCCATTCCAATGCCTTTTTGGACCCCTCTCGGGGCCTCTGGGCGCCGTTTTCTAGGCCGAGCCCAACCGTCGTTGGGGCTTTTCCAGCCTCTCAGCGGCCGTCCTGGCGGCTTGTAGGGGCCCTCCCCAGCTTCCAGGAGCAGGTTCTTAGTAGCTGCTCGCGCCTTCTTGGGCCGTCGCTGCTCAGGTGGTTCTCTTCCTCATGGCGAGCCTCGCCAAGTCCGTTGGCGGGACGCACGTCTTCCCACATTTGCATCAGAGCGACCACGCTCCCAAAACAGTGGGCCGGCGGTGTCTACTCCCGCGGGGGCGTTCATTTCAATAAACTTGCCTATGACAATTCAAACTCAGTGCGTATCAACTGGGCCGGGCGCCCCCGTCTCCGTTGCCCTTACATGATCGTGGGTATTCCCAAACCCCCATTGGTGCTGCAATGGGTCCCGACGTATCGCTGAGTGGTCCCAGGTTTTCTTCATGTGTCGCTGTGTATACCTGTCTATGCTTGTGTATACATTTACATATACATATGCATATACATTTACATACACATATACATATAATATACATATACATTTACATACACATATACATAAACGTATACATCTACATAAACGTATACACATACACATACACACACATACACATACATATACATATTCATAAACATATACATCTGCATCTACATATGCATATACAGATACATATACATATACATACACATATACATATACACATCCATCCATCCATCCATCCATCCATCCATCCATCCATCCATCCATCCGTCCGTCCGTCCGTCCATCCATCCATACATACATACATACATACATACATACATCTATGAACATACATGGATGTATGTGTATATACATGTCCCAGTGTTATCCAAGTCGGCTTACATCTAGGGTCCAATGGAGACCACTCGAACGCAGCGGAGTCCAATGGAGTCCCATGGACCAACGCAGTCCAATAGAGTCCGATGAAGTTCTACGAAATCCAATGGGGTCCAATTGAGCCCAATGGATTCCTATGGGAACCTATGGATTCGAATAGAGCACTATGGAGTTCAATGTAGTCCTTTGGAGTCCAGTGGATGCGTGTGAGTATCCCAATGGCATCCAATGGAATCCAACGCAGCCCACTGTTGTACGATGGGTTCCATTGAGTCCGATGGAGTCCAATGGGGTCCGATAGGTGCTCCAATGGAAGAAAATGTGTCAATTGGAGTCCAATGGAGGCCGATGGAGTCCCCGGAATCAGCTGGAGTCCACTGGAGTCCGCTGACGTCGCATGGGTGTCCGAATGGAGTCCAGTAGAAGTCCTACGGGGCCCTAGCAGACCAATGGGCTCTCATGGGTTCCAATGGAATCGAGTAGACCTATGGAGGCTGATGGAGTCCGAGGAGGCCAATGGAGTCCACTGGTGTCGTCCAGAGTCCAATAGAGTAGCATTACAGCTATCGTAGCCATTGAGCGCAGCAGCAGCGGTGATAGAAACAGCGAGTGCACACGGCGCAGGGGGCAGCCGCCGCAGAGATCCTGCCCAACGAGGTGTGGTCCACGAGTGTGAAGCTGCAGAGCGCGCCTTGGCTCGGTCGATGGATCCGTATATGTCTCGAGACAAGGTGACTTGCTGGAGCCCACTCCCGGCGCGCATCTTGCCCTTCGAAGATGTGGGCACATACTGTGCACGGGCTTGTGGTACTCGTCGAAGATGGTCAGTGAGGAGCAAACACGCGTCCCAACCGGCTGGCGAAGGCGTCCTGGCGCTGGAATATCACGGGGGCTTCAGCCCTGGAGCCTGGGCTCTATAGCTTGAGCTCCAGCCTGCGTCTGGGGGAGCGCAGCATGCAGCCCCAGCTGCCTGGCCAAGGCAGCCATCGGCCCCCAGAGCAGCGCCCAGTAGCGCGGCGAGCTTGGCGCCTCGAGCTCCAGAGTCAGAAGTCTGCTGCCGTTGTCCTCGCTCGGATCTCGCAGGCGCCGCAGCTCGGCGAGGAGCGCCGGGTGAGGCACATCGAGGAGAAGGCTGGCACGGGCTGAGCGTCCCCGATAGTCAACCTCGTGCTCGAAGGACTCGTCAAACCAGAAGCAGTCGCCTGCTCGCGAAGAGCCATAGGCGATCTCGTGGTGGCCGCGAAAGATAAGCCGCGACTTGGAGCCAAGAGGCACAACCAGCGGGCATTGAAGACGGAAGCGCCCCTGCTGAGGACTGCTGTGCCTTGGAATGTAGGTTCTGGGAGGGTGAACCTCCGACACACCCAACCGAGTCATTGGCAAGCCGCTCCCTCGGAGGTGTCCAACAAGTTTGCACATCTTGGGGAACGTATCCCAAAAGCACATCGCAGGATCGTGTCGCGCAGGATCCCAAATAGTGTACTCTGCCCAACTGCCGCTGCCATGATCAATCATACCCAGGCCCTCCAGAGAGCACGTGGAATTCTTCTCACAACTGTGAATCCAGTAGCCGACGCCACTATGCTCCAACTGCTCTGTCAGTCGCGCGATCTGGAACTCGTCGCGCAATGCCTCCTGCCTCAGGGCTGCTTCAACATAGCTTCGGGCCTCGCGGCACGAAGGACACATGCTCTCTAAGAGCGCACCCGGGTCCAGAACGTCGGACGGCAAGGCCGGCCAGAAGGCATGCTTGGGTCTCTGCAGAGGATGATGCCAAACTCCTCGCTCCACAGCCAGCTTGAAGGCTTGAGCTGCTTCCTCCTCGAATCCCAGACGCCGGAGGCCTTCCCCTGCCAGGCCGACCACCAGGCGGCTCCGCGGCCTCACCGAGATGGCGCGCCGCAGCGCGGCAGCGCCCTCGGCGACGCTCACGAGGCCCGAGCTGCCAGGACCTGCATGCGAGCCAATCGCCAGCAGTGGCTCAGCTTGCTCGGGGTGAAGTCGCGCGGCTTCCTCCAGAGCGTGGACGTTGCCCTGCAGGAGTCCCAGCGCCAGCAGTGCCATGTAGTTGTCTGGCTCAATGGCCAGGGCAGCCGTGAGCTCTGCTGCCGAGGCGCTGTCGTTCTCGGTGAAGGCCGCGAGGAAGGCACCGTAAGCAGCTCTTGCCCTCACGTCTGTTGGCTTCGCCCTAACAGCAGCAGCAAGGCTGACTCGTCCATCGTGCGCCACTGCCCAGTCTACGTTGAAGGCCCCCAGCCCTCCTTGGGCCTCGCGGTCGAACGGCACCGCACGCAGTGCGGTTTCTACGCCATGGCGCAACTTGGACAAGTACTCGTCGTCCTCATCGACAGACAGACCAGCTGTGATGCTCAGGAGGACGAAGCTGGGGAAGGACAGCAGACGGAGGCTCTGCAAGTTCATCTGCACACCTGGCACCCGCCCCTGCGCTGCGAAGCTTGAAGCCAACATCACGTGAGCAAATGTGGCTTGAGCCCAAACTGCTACGCTGGTTTTCCCGACGTCCATGGTTCACTCGGTGCCTTCCATCGTCCAGGAAATCAGGACGCGATGGACGTGCACCTCGTCAGTCGTGCTTTCAGTGACAGGGGCTCGCGCCCCCGCGGCCGCTCGCAGAGCTGCGCGCGCTCCGCGCTCGCAACAGGGCTATTAGGGCGCGCGGGCCCCTGTACTCAGAGCCCTGGAAACGTCCCCGATTCGGCGGCAGCACACAAAGAGCGCAGCCTACAGCTCTCTCGGTGGTGCAAGGCGCACTGCGGCTCGACATCCCCTGTGAACGAGTGCGAAGCCTCTGAGCCCAACGACCGAAGAGCTGGCCAGGGAGACAGCAGGGGAGCACCCCCGTGGCCATGGGCGCGCTGGTGCGCGCACGCACGGGCGTCTGCCGGTTGAACGTGTTGTCTCCTGTCGGCCCCGCGGAGCAGTTGGCCAGCGGGTCTGCCCCCACATCCTGGCAAGGGGGGGTGAAGGAGGAGGAGGAGGAGGATGGAGATGAGAGGTTGTAGGGCGGCTTGGATGGTACCCGCTCGGGCGAGCACTCGGACATCAAATAATGTCTTAACACAGCTGCCATCTTCATGTTCGAATGCAATACGTAACTGGTAGCGCGGTCTTGTGTGTAAGGGACGCGTGGCAGCACGGCATGCTGAAATAGCTCACGTGTGCTCTACTTCCCGTTTGTTGCGCAAACACGTGCGTTGCAAGTTGCACCCAGGCGATAGTCGAAGAGCCGCCCTAGGACCAGGGATTGACCAGAAGCGCCCTGGTAAGCTGTTCATGCATTTTTCGCACGAAGGCAACCTGCCGTGGTGGACACCGAGCAAATTCAACTTACAAATAGGAGATTACGCCGCACCGACCTGGCTCACCCGAGCCTCCTTCGCTTCGCGCTCCCGCGCTGGACCCGCTGCGGATTCTGCTGGAAACCGTCTCGATTGGGATTTGCCAGCTCCTGTCCACCAGTGAAGCGGACTCTTGTGCCTCGGCCTGACGGCAATGGGGGCGCCCAGCTCGGCACGACTCCTCCTACAACTCCTTCCTCTCCTCCTTCTTGCGTCTCCAATTGGCATATTCCTCCTTCTCCTCCTCTTCCGTCTGCGGACCCTCCTCCTCTCCTTCGCCTCTTGCCGCTGCTGTGCTGTCTCCTCCTCATGCTCCTCTCTCTCCTGCCCTTCCACCTTCCCCCTTCTCGTCATTCCGACCTCTCCTTCGGTGCTTCCCCTCCTCCCACCCCTCCTCTTCCTCCTCTTTTCCCCAATTCCTCCTCCTGTTACTCATCATCCTCATGCCCCCATCTCCCGCTTCCCAGGCGCCACCCTCTTTCCTCTTCCGCCTCCTCCCCGCTGCCCCCCTCTCATCTCCTCTCCTTTCCTCTCCTCTCCTCTACCTTACTTCAAATAATCCTCTGCCTCCCTCCTCCTCATCCATCCTCCTCCTCCACCTCCACCTCCTCCTGCCTTCTATTTCCTTCTCACGCCCCTCATCCTCCCTGTATTTCCCTCATCCTCTCTCCTTCTCTTCCTCCTCCTCATCCTGCTCCTTATCCTCTCACTGCTCCTCCCCCTCCCCCCCCGTCCCCCATCACCCTCCTCCTCCTCCTCCACCTCTTTTTCCTCTTCCTCCTCCTCCTCCTCCTCCTCCGTTGTTTGTCGTCGTTTGTTTCATTCTTCGCCTGCCTCTTCCTCTTCGTTTTCCCTTGATGGGGACGCCCCTCACGCGCTCTCGGGGGCTGGAGACCTACGGTGGCGGCTCAATGCGCCGGTCCCCCAGGAGGAAGGACAAGAGGCAGGATGATTCTGATTATGATTATGATGATGATGATGATGATGATGAGGAGGAGGAGGAGGAGGAGGAGGAGGAGGAGGAGGAGGAGGAGACACAGTGCATAGCGCTCCCCAGGAGGAGGAGGAGGAGGAGGAGGAGGAGGAGGAGGAGGAGGAGGAGGTGTAGGAGGAGGAAGAGGAGAAGTAGGAAGAAGAGGAGAATGAGAAAACGGAAAAGCAACATAAGGATGGAGGACGAGGAGGAGGAGGAAGAGGACGGAGGATGAGGAGGAAAACGAAAAAAGAGGAGGAGGAGGATGGAGAAGGAGGAGGAGGAGGCAGGGGGAGGAGGAGGGAGGAGGAAGGATGTCTCCTCCAGCAGAGGGCAGTGTAAGCATTCCAGCTCCAGTCAGGCCAATCCATGGCCGAGGGAAGGGGGGAGGACATCTCGGTCGAACTCCTCCGCGCAAGCCTGGCCCTTCTCACGCCGCCGCCTCAAGCTGGATGGTCACCTGGCAGCACGGCCGCACATCCGTACACGTGGGTGGAGAATCAGAAGGCGAGGGCCCACAGGATGACCGACTCCATTGGAAGCTGCCCGGGTGGGACCTCAACAAGTAGGGTAAGAAGATCTCACCGCATGGCCGATGCATCGGAAACGTTCGCATGGTTAACATTAGGAGCTGGTAAACTTTGGAAGGCCTGGAATCAAGAGGTTGATGGACGGCACGATTGCCTGCCCCTCCGTGGGAAAGGTCGGGTTTGCAAACGTAATCAAACGTACACCCCCCAGGGGCAGTCCATGCTGGCCTCAACAGGCGCCCACAGGGTAGCTCGGGGTGGTCTCAACAACCCAACTCTGGGGCGCGGAGCAACCGAAGAGGAAGTGTTGCGCTCAAGTGGAAGCCCCTCGACCACTTTGCGTTTTTTGTCATGTTGTCGCTGGGGCCGTCGCTTGCATCGAACGAGGCACACTCCCCCTGCGCGGCGGTAGCTGTGTTCTGACACCGTCGGCATGGGGAATTCCATGGAACGCCTCCTCCTCCTCCTCCTCCTCCTCCTCCTCCTCCTCCTCCTCCTCCTCCTCCTTCATTCCCTTTCCTTATAAAATTATTCCGGCGAAGGACCCAACCATGTGCAGCTGTGTGTAACGCAGGTGTGGGTATCGTCCTCGGTGAACCTCCCTCTGGGGCCACGACGCGTGTGACGGGGGTGCCAAAATTGGCACGGGTACGCCATGCGGACGCTGCCACCGGAACCGTCGTTGCAGCCCCATTTGAGGCCACGGAACGTGTGAGGGGTGCGCGGAAATGCAGGGTGGAACCACGTGCGGGCGCTGCCACCAGGGCCTTTGGTGGCCGCGAAACGTGGAAACGGTGTGCCGAAATGGAGAGGGAACTGCATGCGGAACCTGCCACTGGGGCCCTGAGTGGAACAGTCCATGGGGCCACGAAACGTGTGAGGGGTGCGCCGACATGGAGGGGGGACTGCATGCGGACCTGCCACGGGGGCCTTGGGTGGAGCACCCTATGGAGCCGCGGAACGTGCGAGAGGTGCGCGGAGATGGAGGTGGAACTGCATGCTGACCCTGCCACTGGGGCCTTCGGCGGAGCACCCTATAGGGCCACGAAACGTGTGGTGAGGGGTGCGAAGAAATGGGGATGGAACTGCCTGCGGACCATGCCACTGGGGCCTTCCGCGGAGCACCCTATGGGGCCACGAAACGTGTGAGAGGTGCGCGGCGGAACACCCAATGGGGCCACGAAACGTGTGAGGGGTGCGCCGAAATGGAGGTGGAACTGCATGCGGACCCTGCCCTGGGGCCTTCGGTGGAGCACCCTATGGGGCCACGAAACGTGTGAGGGGTGCGCCGAAATGGAGGTGAGGGGTGAGGAAATGGAAGTGGAACTGCATGCGGCTGGGGGCCTTCTGCACCCTATGGGGCCACGAAACGTGTGAGGGGTGCGCCGAAATGGAGGTGGAACTGCATGCGGACCCTGCCACTGGGGCCTTCGGTGGAGCTCCCTATGGGGCCACGAAACGTGTGAGGGGTGCGCCGAAATGGAGGTGGAACTGCATGCGGACCCTGCCACTGGGGCCTTCGGTGGAGCACCCTATGGGGCCACGAAACGTGTGAGGGGTGCGCCGAAATGGAGGTGGAACTGCATGCGGACCCTGCCACTGGGGCCTTCGGTGGAGCACCCTATGGGGCCACGAAACGTGTGAGGGGTGCGCCGAAATGGAGGTGGAACTGCATGCGGACCCTGCCACTGGGGCCTTCGGTGGAGCACCCTATGGGCCACGAAACGTGTGAGGGGTGCGCCGAAATGGAGGTGGAACTGCATGCGGACCCTGCCACTGGGGCCTTCGGCGGAGCACCCTATGGGGCCACGAAACGTGTGAGGGGTGCGCCGAAATGGAGGTGGAACTGCATGCGGACCCTGCCACTGGGGCCTTCGGTGGAGCACCCTATGGGCCACGAAACGTGTGAGGGGTGCGCCGAAATGGAAGTGGAACTGCATGCGGACCCTGCCACTGGGGCCTTCGGCGGAGCACCCTATGGGGCCACGAAACGTGTGAGGGGTGCGCCGAAATGGAGGTGGAACTGCATGCGGACCCTGCCACTGGGGCCTTCGGTGGAGCACCTTATGGGACCACGAAACGTGTGAGGGGTGCGCCGAAATGGAGGTGGAACTGCATGCGGACCCTGCCGCTGGGGCCTTCGGTGGAGCTCCCTATGGAGCCACGAAGCGCTGTAATGGGTGGGTGAAACGCAGGGAGGAGGGAGGAGAGGGAGGAGGAGGGAGGAGGAGGGGGAGGAGGATGAGAGGAGGAGGAGAAGGACGCGGGGCACCGTCTCTTCAAAACGAGGACCCAACACCACAGGATGGTTGGGAAAAACACCTCTCGCTGTCGCACCCCAAGGCGAGTTTTTAGGGCGTGCCGGGCGTTGCGCCTGATTCTTCCTCACCAGTTATGACCATGAAACTGAAACATGGGCAACAACTTCACAGATGGAGGACGCGTGGTTTTCAAAATGTGGCTCTCGCCTTAGCGCCACGCAGATTCGTTTTTCAAACTCTTGCAAAGAGTTTCACGGATTGGGGGCGGGTCGTTACCAAAATGTGGCTCCCGCCTCAGCTCCGCGTGCACTCGTTTGAACAATTTGCGCGAAATTAACGGGTTGAGGGCAAGTGGTTTTCAGAATGAGGCTCTCGCCTTAGCGCCGCGCGCACTCGTTTTAACAATTCGCAAGGACTTCACGGATTGAGGGCGAGTGGTTTTCAAAGTGTGACTCTCGCCTTATCGCCGCGCACATTCGTTTTCAAACAACTGCAAGGAACTTCACGGATTGAGGGTGTCTCCTTTTCAAACTGTGGCTCCCGCCTTAGCGCCGCGTACACTCGTTTGACAAACTTGCAAGGGCTTCACGGATTGAAGGTTGTTCCTGTTCGAGCTGTGGCTCCCGCCTTGGCGTCGCGCGAATTCGTTTTTTTGTTTGAGTGCTATCTCCTCCTTTATATATAATATGTCCATTCTACAAACATGACTGCAAGAACTTCGCGGATTGAGGGCGGGTGGTTTTCAACATGTGGTTCTCGCCTTACCACGGCGCGCATTCTTTCTAAACATTTGCAAGACTTTCACTGATTTGGGGCGGCTCCTTTTCAAAATGTGGCTCTCGCCTTAGTGCCGCGCGTATTCATATTTAAACACTTGCAACAGTTTCACTGGTTGAGGGCGGGTCGTTCTCAAATGTGGCTCTCGCCTTAGTGCCGCGTGCAATCGTTTGCAACACGTGCAAGAACTTCACGGATTGAGGGCGGTTCCTTTTCAAACTGTGGCTCGCGCCTTAGCGCCGCGCGCATTCTATATGTATGTATATATATATATATATATATGTATGCATGTCTGCATGCATGTATGTATATATACACAGATGTTGTCAGATCTACATTGATTATCCTGATCAGCGTAACAAGCAACTTCTATAATGATTCGGGATCATGGGGGCCCGACAATTATGTTGATTCGCGGTGTTGAAGTCCCACGAGTGGCGGTCTGGCACGATTCAGGATCGTCAAGACGCAACAGTCAGGTTTATCCATGGCGTTGGAATCCCGATTTTTTTTTCGCATGCTTCAGGGCCTTCAAACGGTTGTCGTCCAACGAGGCAGCTCCCTCAGTGGAAATGAACCGTTGTATGGCCTGTGTAGAAGGATCTTGGAGGGATGGTTTATTTCAGCATCGTTGATGACTCTTGGGTTTGCACTCGTCGTCCCCCTTCTTCTTCTTCTTCTTCTCCTCCTCCTCCTCCTCCTCCTCCTCCTCCTCCTTCTCCTCCTCCTCCTCCTCCTCCCCCTCCTCCTTCTCCTCCTCCTCCTCCTCCTCCCTACAATCAAAAAACCCGACCCTCCTCCTCCTCTTCCTCCTCCCTCTGCCCTGCAGCGAGAGCTCGAACTCTTGCCGTTCTGCAGCGTTTCTCCTTCCCTAATTGTCGAGGAGATGGACAACATGGTCGGGGGTCTGGCGTCAGCCGGGTCCGACACCGGCCCCCCGCTGACACGCGTGACAGTGAAGGATGCCCGTCGAGTGGCCGAGTGAAGCCTGCATCGGCGCAGGTGCACGTCAGGTCGGGGGCTTCGGCGCCTGGCTTGGGGTGTGCCCGGATCGTTGGGTGCAGCTCTGCCCCATCGGGCCTGGCCAAAAAGCTCCAAATTCCTCCCTCCCTAGCGTCGCCCCCTGGCTTTCGGGTCACAACTCGGCTCTGTGGCCGCCGTTCGGGGCGATCCGGGCACCCTCCGAACGCTCTCGACGAGGCGCGGCTGATGGAAACCATCCCAGGCCTCGAAAACTTTCGAAAACTTTCGAAACCTTCCTCCGCCTCCTCTTCCTCCTCCTCCTCGTCCTCTTCTTCCTCCTCCTCCTCCTCCGCCTCCTCCTCCTCCGCATCCTCCTCCTTCTCCTCCTCCTCCTCCTTAGCCGTTCTGGCGCAGGTCTCCCGCGGGTCTCCTGCGATTGTTGGCGTTAACTTCAGAGCGGCGCTGCGCCAACGGGCCTCCTTGGCTCGGCGTTGTGTTTTCTGTGAGCTCCTGGAGGAGCACAACGATTTCTTCATGGTGCCACCCCTAACCATGGCAACCTCTCGCGTCGGCCCTGGCGAGGCGATGGCGAACACGGTAAAGGAGGTGGCCGCAACCCAAAGAGGCAGTCAGGCTTGCGCGGGCCACCAACCTTCGGTCACAAGTGCACCTCTTGCGGCTGCGCCAAGAACGAGGCGTCGGCCAGGTTCTGCAAGCATTGCGGCTCCCAGCTCTCGAAGGTCTCCCTCTCGGCCCCCCCCCCGAGCGCATGGGGTTTGGGCTGATGGCGGCCCTCCTGGTGTCTTCGCTGCTCCTCCGTGCGCTGGGCTCGCTCTTCGTGTCCACGGGCTTCCAGGAGGCGCAGGAGCTGACGGAGGCAAAGGCGGCCGCCAGGGAGTCAACGGCGCTGGGGGTGGCAAAGGTGGAGGCGCTGCTGGCGTGGTCTAGACCCCCCTCGAGGTGGGAGCACAGCCCCAGCTCTCTCTTGAAGAGGCTCGTCAGCTGGCGGCTCTCTCACACAAGGCCGGCGACATCGCGAGCGCCACCCGCTACCGCCAGATGGCCGAGAAGCTCGACGCGGTCTTGCACCCCGCCGTCGTGCCCATCCACCAGCGGATCCAGCAGAGCAACGCTGCGGTCACCCGCCTGGAGCGGAAGATCGAGACGGATATGGATAAGCTGGAACAGTGGCAGGCCGAAGTGGTGGCGCAGATTGCGTGCATCGGCAGTCTCAATTCGGAGCTCAACGCCGCGGACAGCAAGTACCAAGCAGATGTCGAGGAGCTCCAGGCTTCACGTCGTCGAGGACCTGAAGACGCTCCTGCTCAGGCTCCACCCGCATGCTCTCTCAAGCTGTCTGCCTTGGTGGATGGCTCGGCCGATCTCAGCAAACTCATCGACCTGGACGAGCTCGTCGCCGACGCCTCGCTCCACCAGGAGATCGAGGAGGCTGACCTCAAGGAGATCGACCAGAGGAAGCAGCAGCTGGGAGCCGCCATCCAGGTCATGGCGAAGGACTTACTGGGCCCGCTGGTCAAGCAGGCGCAGGAGGCTAAGGCGCAGCATGCTGATCACATGCGCCGCCTCCAAGCCAAGAAGCGGCGGACGGAGCCAGGAACGCGAGAGGCAGCAACAGCAGCAACAGCAACAACAGCAACAGCAAGCGCAGCACGCGACGGTGGAGCGAGGTTACTTCCGCAGGCCGAAAGATTTTCCTCTTGAGCCCCACATGTCGGAAGCGACGCGCCGTTCAGGTGAGCGGAAACATGTAGCGCTCGCTTCGAGGTGGGATATATATATATATATGTTATGGGTGGAGATGCGGGAGTTCTCATCCCACCTCCTCTGGCTTCTTCCCTCATCCTTCCCCTCTTCATCCTGGGAAGACCCCCCTCCCCCGTAGAATCATAGCATTGGTCTGCACATACACAGCTCCGTGGATAGCATGATGCTTCACTTGCGGTGCTCCGCGGATCCCATTGCCCCTGGGTCCCAGATGTTAATTATTATTATATATATTGATGCCCGGGAAATAAATGGATCCACCGTTTTTCCACACACAGGAAATTGGATCCGCGCAACACAGAAATAGGATCCACGAAACTCTCCCACACCCGAAAAGGAATCCAATTGGATCCATTGATGTTCTCATATTTTGAGTCCAAGAGGGAAAGAACTTTCGGCCTGGGGATGTAACTGGAGCGAGGTCACATCGCCGCCCCCCCCGCTGGGGGCACGGCGGGGGGGGGCCTATGTGATCAGCGAATAGCAGCTTCAACGCAGCCGGGTTCTTTTTCATTTTCCTCGAACTTTCAAGGCATACCTTCCGCAGAGGCATCGATAGGTGCTTCGATTCGTCGGAATTTGAAGCGTCTGAGCAGAATACTTCCTTTTACAGCCTTGGAGCCGAACCCCCAAGGACAAATCCTGCCCCCCCGCCATCTTTTTCGGGCGGGGTTGTCTCCTCCTCCTCCTCCTCCTCCTCCTCCGCATATTCCTTCTCTGTGGGGGTCGGTACCTGCGCTCTCTCTGTGAGCGCCTACGCTTCTTTTGCAGCCAACAGTGTGAAGTGCGTCGCTCCACATTCTGTCTCTTTCCCCGCCCCTTCGCCTCTTCTTCGTCCTGCGCCCCCCCCCCCTGGCAGTGCGCCTCGGGTATTCGTTTTTCGCACGTGCCTTCGAGCAGTGCTGGTTGTAGTGCAGCTCCGGGTGTAGCGACCGGGCATTCTCGCTCGGCGAAGGGCTGCTCCCACGGTGGCGCAGCGAAGCAGCCATGTATCTTGCCACCAGGTACCTCTGGTAGTTTTTTCGGCCCCCCAGCCAGCCAGCCAAGAAACGCGCATCAGCTCATCGTGGAAACGGTCAATGTGACAGCGTGGAGTTCGATTAAACCCTGGCTTGCTCGCACGGAGGCTCAGGTCTTGGTCCAGGAGCATCGTCTTGACTCTCAGGATCTTTGCAACGAAGCGTCCCAGTGGTGCTTCAACTGCGGCTGGAAGAGCGTCTTCCTGAAGGCTGAAGCTGGACCTGGTGGGGGCCCGTCGGGAGGTGTGGCTATTCTGGTACGCAACTACATCGGTTTCAGAAGCCCTGATTTTGGGTCTGATCTTTTTCCTGGTCGAGCGATTGCTGGTATCGTGGAGGTCCCAGGTGGGCTACCAACTTTGATGGTTAGCGCCTACTTCAATGATAGCGAGAGGCTGTCTCAGAAGAACCGTTCCATCCTCGCGTCCCTGGGGAGTGCTGTCCACGGTTTCGGTAGCTCTTGGCTGATCGGCGCGGATTTCAACATGTTTCCGAGCGAGTTGCAGCAGAGTAGCTTTTTCGAGCGCATCGCTTGCAATGTCATGGCCCCCGAGGCTGACACCTGTGAGGCGAGGGAAAGTCCAGCAATATTGACAATTTTATTATCTCGGCAGGGTTGAGCAAGTGCGTTGAATCTGTAGGGGTTCAGACCACCTCTGACATTGAGATCCACGCCCCCGTTCGAGTGAAGTTTTTCGGGGATGTGGCGTCTTTGCAGGCGCTCAGCTTCATGAAGCTGCCAAAAATCCCTGTTGAGTAGCCTGTGGGGCCTGCTTGCCAAACCAGGTCGGCATGTCAGGTGTTAGACTGTGCGCACAGAGGCTTGGAGATGCTGCAGGACAGGCCGAAGAAGGGATTGGTTCAGAAACACTTGAACACTCTTTATCAAGAGTGGGCCGACCTCGCCGAGATCGAGGTTGCCGCGAGCCGTCACATCACCCTCCACCGGTATGGCGCTCGGGGCAAGCTACCCAGGCTCATGTGGGTCTCTGTGGCAGACATGGACACCAACCGGAACCAGGTGCTGGACCCCTCCCTGTTTTCTTTCAGGTGGTTGGCGAGAACGTTCAGGGCATGTCTGGCTGACTTGGAGGCCTCTGGCGCTCTTGGGCAACAGGGTCACTGTATCTTCGACCCTCCTTCGGACACCTCTGAGCATCTCGATGGTTGTCACGATCAGTACCTTCGGGTTGGATCGTTTCTCCGGGGCGGCCTCATTCATGGATCTTGGGACCTCCATGTAGGGCTCGAACTTTTGGACGAACTTGACGATGCTCTTCGGGTTTACGCTGCTACGGCCAGGCTCTGGGGCTTACAAGATTGGCAGGCCTGGCTGCTAGACGGCATTACCAAAGGAGGCAGGCGGGCGCACAGGTGGACTAGGGAGTGCAAGGCTCAGACGGCTACGACCACGCTTTTGCGACACGGCCACATCGTGTCAGACCCCCTGGCCCTGTTGGAGACGGAGGCCGCCCGCTTCTCAGATTTGTGGTTGGCCGATCGGCTGCCAGATCAGAACCCCGATCCCCTGGACGTCCTTGATCCTTTGGAGGCTCTTACCCAGGATCATATTCGCCAAGTATCTCGCAGCTACTCGACCCGCACTTGCATTTCTGTCGACGGCTTCCACATGCGCCACTTCGCCAGCATGTCGGACGATTGCCTGAGAGTGTTCAGCATCATGATGCAGCATTGCGAGGCCACAGGGCTCCTGCCGTATCACATGCAAGTGCTCCAGATGGCCCTCCTTTCCAAGCCTCAAGGGGGCTTTCGGCCAATCGGCCTTTCTAGCTCGTCTTACGGTCTCTGGGGTAGAGCCCGTCGGGGAATGGTGTCCGCCTGGGAGCTGGAGAATGCTAGAAGCTACCTAGCGGCTTCTGCGTGCAATGGGGCTCCAGATGTGGTCTGGAGGCAGTCGGTCCGGAGCGAGTCTGGGGTCAAGCGCGGCCAGGCGGCTGCTACGTTGCTTTGGGACCTCCCGAAGTTCTACGAGAGCATGCAATTGTCCCTCTTAGAACAGCGAGCCCGTGCATTAGGCTTCCCGGAGCAAATTCTCCGCGTGTGCCTTTGCGCGTACCGTGGAGCAAGGTTCCTCACGATGTCTAATGTTTCCATTGGCCCTTTCTATGTCATCAACGGCGTGGTGGCAGGCTGCTCGATGGCCGCTACGTTCGTGCGGATCTATGTCATGCCAGTGGTTGACCCCCTCGAGCTCCCTAGGTCATTGTTTCTGGACGTTTACATCGATGAACACGGTGTTTCGTCTACTGGGTCTGAGTCCTCGGTCTCTGTCGATCTGAAAGAAGGTGCTTCTAAAATCATGGTGGCCATCACTACAGATTTGCACGCGTCGGTGGCCGAAGAGAAGGCCTCGATCATTACGTCCTCGTGTTCCCTTGGCAAAAAGATGCAATATGTCTTCGGTCGATTTGCTGGAGGTCCTCCGGCACGCAGGGCTATCAACCAGGTGTAGACGACGCGGCAGGTCGCTCGCTGAGGAAGGGCACAGGGATGAAAGGTTCAAAACATCAGGAACGTTTTCGCACGCTTCGGGCCAGAGTTCGACGTCTTCAGAAGTGCAAGAGTGCTTTGGGAAATGGTATCACAAGATATTTATTGCAAGACGCCTTGCATGAGCGACATTTGGCGCGGAGGTGCACGGCACCTCCGACTACAAGTTGTTACTACTCAGGCGTTCCTTCGGCAAGACGGTGAAGCCGTCGGCAGGTTCCAGTAGCCTCACCGCGCTGAGCATTTTGGAGCACGACCCGTGCTACTGCGCTGCCTCGCCCTGGTCCTCAGGTATGCAAAGGAGGCGTGGCTGACTGCCACCCGACAGTATCCATACTCTTTGGGATTCTCGGAGCTCAGGGTTGCTTGGGAGGCGGCCTTTTCGGGCGAGCCGCTTCTGTGGAAGAAGGTCACGGGCCCCCTGTCAGCGACCTGGGCCTCGCTGGAGCGCATAGGTTAGAGCATGGACTCTTTCACCAGCATCGTCACGGATCAGAAGGTCGGCTTGTCTATGACCTCCACATCACCCAAGATGCTCAAAGAGTTTCTTCGGGAAGGGGTCCTTCGGCATCTGCAGCGGCAGTCTGGGACTTCTTTGGGGCTCGGAACTCGGGTGTGCTATGATATCGTGCTGAAAGAACTGAGGTCCCGTAGGTGGGGGCCTTTCGAAAAAGGTTGCATCAGGTCGTTCGTTTGCTGAGCGTGCTGGACAGGTACCAGAGCTGTCGAATGAGGCTACCTCCTGGACTCGTCGCTGCGCAGCAAATGCTGTGCTGCCCCAGACACCATGTTTCACCGATCATGGCAATGCCAGGCCGTCAGTGCGCAGCGTTCCGAGATTGTGGATCAGTCCCTGATCGATCAGGCCCTGGCCCTTAGCCCAGAAGATCCCGATTGGTTGCTGTTCACCAAGGCCATATTCCCACACCCAGGTGACTACGTCCCCGTGCCCGTGGAGGAGGGAGGCATGAAGGTGGTTTGGGAAGGTGATCCCGACAACGTTTCCACAGATATTGAAGGCCACGTCTTCTTTGACGGCTCCGGGCTGCAAAGCCCGACTGGGGGGCTTCTGTATATAACGAGGCCGGGAGCTCAAGTGCACCCTCTGTGGACCCGTTCCTCGCTTCCTCCCTCAGACTTCCCAAGCCGGTGAATTCTGCGGCCTCGGCGCCACCAATGAGCTCCTGAGCGGACCCTCGACGGGATACTCGGACTGCGGCAGTGTGGTCCAGGCTTTCAAGGCTCCTGTACCCCATCAGGTTTCATATATAGGAGGCTCTATGCAGGCGAGCTTTTAACTATGTCTCAGACTAGGTATCGAGATGTAATTCAAGTGAAAGCGCACGTGTCTGCCACAGGCGACCTCTCGCCAGAGCAAGTGTTTTTATAAAACTGGGAATGACGCTGCCGATGCCGCGGCGAAGCGCGGTGCCTGGTCCCACCCGATGCCCTCTGCAGCTGAACTGGTCGAGATCGACCGCCGTGTGCTCATCGCTCGCAAGGTGTGCGCCATGGCGGCTCAACTTCTTCCTCTTTGGCCCCGCCTGAGCCTCGACGGGGTGCCGAGAGCCCCAGGCGAGGGCCGCCGGACAGCAGATGTGCTTGCGCAGTTGCATGAATGGTCATGGTGCCGCTCCTTTTGGAGATGCCAGCGCTGTCTGAAATTCCGCCGCTCGGATCATAAGCCTCCGAGTGCTGGATGTTCTGGTGTCCTGCCCGAGGCCGCCCTCGAGATCGGGCGAATGCAGCATCAATTGAAAGTCTTTGATTGCAGCGACGGCACTCTTTTATATGCCTGTGAGAAGTGCAAGGCATGGTCAATTCAGAAACATTCGTAAGAAATGATTGGACAGGCCCGCATTTGCGATCTCGACCTGGTCCGGTCTCCTCAAGGGAAGGCACCCCAAGTTTCCCCAGGTCAAGGACGAGCCTTTTTCTCTGTCGGCCTGAGTTGGCAGGAGCATCGCTGATGAAACAAAACTCCTCCTCCTCCTCCTCCTCCTCCTCTTCCTCCTCCTCCTCCTCCTCCTACTCTTCCTCCTCCCCCCCTCCCCCTCCCCTCCGCAGGAGGCGCAGGCTCACGAGGCGGAGGCGGGTGGGGCAGCTTCTCTCAGTTGAGCATCTGTTCTCAGATCCCAATGCCCACTGGCGTGGTCTGGGCCGCACTGGCCGAACTGCCCACCTGGGCAGGGACACGTGATCCAGGGCTGCACCCCCCCGGCGCATATGGGATGGAGCACCCCCCCGCGCTGGATGAGCACCCCCCCGCGATGGAGCACCCCCCCGGCGCTGGATGGGTACGCCCGTGAGCCTCGCGAAGACTTCACGAAAGACCTCGCTTCTGTGGGCGTGGCGTGGTGGAGGTTGCCAGTGCTCCCCCCACGCCAATGTGAATGTGGGGTGGTTCGTCGTCGTCGTCGTCGTCGTCGTCGTCGTCGTCGTCGTCGTCGTCGTCGTTGGCGTCGTTGGCGTCGGCTTCGGCGTCGGCATCGGCGACGGCGTCGGCGTCGTCGTCGTCTTCGTCACCGTCTTCCGTCGGCGTCGTCGTCGTCGGCGTCGGCGTCGTCGTCGTCGGCGTCGGCGTCGACGTCGTCGTCGGCGGGCGTCGGCGTCGGAGTCGGCGTCGTCGGCGTCGGCGTCTTCGTTGTCGTCGTCGGCGTCGTCGTCGTCGTCGGCGTCGACGTCGGCGTCGGCGTCGGCGTCGGCGTCGGTGTCGGCGTCGGCGTCGGCCTCGGCGTCGGCGTCGTCGTCGACGTCGGCGTCGGCGTCGTCGTCGACGTCGTCGGCGTCGGTCGTCGTCGTCTTCGTAGGCGTCGGCGTCGGCGTCGGCAATGGCGTCGGCGTCGTCGTCGGCGTCGGCGTCGGAGTCGGCGTCGTCCTCGTCGGCGTCGTCGGCGTCTTCGTTGTCGTCGTCGTGGTCCTCGTCGTCGTCGTCGTCGTCCTTGTCGTCGACGTCGGCCTCGGCGTCGACGTCGGCGTCGGCGTCGGCGTCGGCGTCGTCGTCGTCGGCGTCGGCGTCGTCGTCGGCGGGCGTCGGCGTCGGAGTCGGCGTCGTCGGCGTCGGCGTCTTCGTTGTCGTCGTCGCGTCGTCGTCGTCGGTCGGCGTCGAGTCGGCGTCGGTGTCGGCGTCGGCGTCGGTGTCGGCGTCGGCGTCGTCGTCGACGTCGGCGTCGGCGTCGTCGTCGACGTCGTCGGCATCGTCGTCGTCGTCGTCGTCATCGTAGGCATCGACGTCGGCGTCGGCAATGGCGTCGGCGTCGGCGTCGGCGTCGGCGTCGTCGTCGGCGTCGGCGTCGGAGTCGGCGTCGTCGTCGTCGTCGGCGTCGTCGGCGTCTTCGTTGTCGTCGTCGTGTCCTCGTCGTCGTCGTCGTCGTCGTCGTCGTCTCGTCGTCGCGTCGGACGTCGCGTCGGCGTCGGCGTCGTCGTCGTCGGCGTCGGCGTCGCGTCGTCGTCGGCGGGCGTCGGCGTCGGAGTCGGCGTCGTCGGCGTCGGCGTCTTCGTTGTCGTCGTCGGCGTCGTCGTCGTCGGCGTCGACGTCGGCGTCGCGTCCGTCGTCGTCGTCGTCGTCGACAACGGCGTCGGTCGGCGTCGGCGTCGTCGTCGACGTCGGCGTCGTCGTCGACGTCGTCGGCATCGTCGTCGTCGTCGTCATCGTAGGCGTCGACGTCGGCAATGGCGCAGCGTCGGCGTCGGCGTCGGCGTCGTCGTCGGCGTCGGCGTCGGCGTCGTCGTCGTCGTCGGCGTCGTCGGCGTCTTCGTTGTCGTCGTCGTGGTCCTCGTCGTCGTCGGCATCGTCGTCGTCGTCGTCGGCGTCGACGTCGGCGTCGGCGTCGGCGTCGGCCTCGGTGTCGGCGTCGGCGTCGGCCTCGGCGTCGGCGTCGTCGTCGGCGTCGGCGTCGTCGGCGTCTTCGTTGTCGTCGTCGTCGTCGTCGTCGTCGTCGTCGTCGGCGTCGACGTCGGCGTCGGCGTCGGCGTCGTCGTCGACGTCGGCGTCGGTGTCGGCGGCGTCGTCGGCGTCGTCGTCGTCGTCGTCGGCGTCGTCATCGTCGTCGTCCCCCGCCATCCCATCTGGGGGGGGGCTGTGGAACTCTGGGACCCAACCCGTCTGGGAAGATGGGTAGGGGGCTGTGAATTCTCGACCGTGGATCATGTGAGTATATGTGAGTATTCCTGTTCCCTCGAGCCTCACGGGTCGTATCGACTGATTTTGCTGGTCCCCCGCGCCTCGACCGCCCTCTCGTGCGGCCTGCCCTCTGCGAGCCTCGGGGTCAGCAATTTCATCGGGAACAGTCCGCACACCTGCTCCAGGTCCATGCCGGCCTCGGCGGCGCAGAGAAGAAAGAGAGGAGGAGGCGGAGGAGGAGGAGGAGGAGGAGCGTCGAGAGAGGAGGATCAGGCTGAGAATAATTAAATTGATGATGCTGCTGATGCTGCTGCTGATGATGATGCTGGTGATGACGACGATGATGATGATGCTGGTGATAATGATGATGGTGCTGATGACGATGCTGATGATGATGGTGTGATGGTAGTGCTGCTGCTGATGCTGATGCTGATGCTGACGCTGATGATGATGATGATGATGATGATGATGATGATGATGATGATGATGCTGACGATCATGATGATGCTGATGATGCTGACGATGACGATGACGATGCTGATGCTGATGCTGATGATGATGGTGGTGATGATGATGATGTTGATAATGGTGACGATGCTGCTGCTAATGATGACGACGATGATGCTGCCGATGACGATGACGATGACGATGATGATGACGACGATGATGATGATGATGATGATGATGATGATGATGATGATGCTGATGCTGATGCTGATGCCGATGATGATGATGATGATGATGATGATGATGATGATGATGATGATGATGATGATGATGATGATGATGCTGCTGATGATGCTGCTGCTGCTGATGATGATGATGAGGATGAGGAGGAGGATGAGGAGGAGGAGGCAGAGTTTTGAGAGAGAAGGAGGGTGCTGAGGAGGAAGAGGAGGTGGAGAAGGAGGAGGAGGAGGAGCAGGAAGAGGAGAAGGACACAGGCATCAGGTGCAACCATCAACGCTGCCTCCAGCACAGAGCACCGTGGAGGAGGATGAAGAGGAATCGCCCTGAGACAAAAGGGTCCTAGCGGAAACAGGTCATGCGTGGTTTCATGGCTCTCGAGCCCCTGGAGGTCTTGCCTGGGCCCGGGGGGCGTCATAAAAAAACCTCAGGACGAAGAGCTTGTTCCAGGGGAGACCTCGGGGTCCAGGACTCGCCTCCCTCAGAACCCCCCTCCCTTCATGGCGAGCTGAGCAGGGCAAACCCATAATGCATCCACGATGCAACAGCACACAGTCCCGTCCCAAGTCCACCATGGAGGAGGAGGATGAGGAGGAGGAGGAGGAGGAGGAGGAGGAGGAGGAGGGGGGGAGAAGGAGGAGAGGGAGGAGGAGGAGGAGGAGGAGGAGGAGGAGGAGGAGGAGGAGGAGGAGAGAGGAGGGAGGAGGAGGAGGAGGAGGAGGAGGAGGAGGAGGAGGGGGGAGGAGAGGGAGGAGGAAGAGGATAGCCCCTGCAAGCCTTCCCTTTTTTTACCGCTGCCCCTGGAGGAGACGAGCACACATTCCATGGGCCTGCCATGCAGGCGCGAGATCTTATCGTCTTCAGCAGGAGCCGCCTTGCTTCGACGACGACGCCGACGCCGACGCCGACAACGACAACGACGACGACGAGGATCCCGTGGAGCCCGTTGTTGCCGAGGCTCTCCTTCGCGGGGGATCGGACGGAAAAAGCGAGCTGGCAGGATCAGCAACTTCAGCAACGTGTCCAGCGAGCGCCCCGCTCTGCAAAGGAGCAGCTCCCCCCCTTCGCGCAAGTGTTGCACGATGTCCTTCAAGTTGCTGGTCATTCAGTGTGAAGAGCGCTCCTCTGAAAGCCCCCATTCTGAGCAGGAGCTGCCCTCCCACCCGTGCAGCTGTTACATGCGTTCATCCTTCCGGTCGTCACGCAGGTTTGAAAGAAGTGCCAAGCGACACCCCCATTTTGACAAGGAGCCTTCCTCCATCCATGCAGCTGTGGCGAACTTTCGAAACGAATGCGCGCGGCGCTTAGGCGGTATACCATGTTGAACCGAGCAGTATCCATCCCTGTCTGATGCAGGCTTTGAAGATGCATGTGCGCGGCGCTGAGGCGAGGGCCCCATTCTGAAAAGGAACCGCCCTCCATCCTTGGCGCTGTTGAGAATTTGCAAAAACGAAGCCGCGCGGCGCCAAGGGGAGAGCCACTTTTTTTTGTGCAAACGACGCCACCTCCATCCTTGTCACTGCTGCAAGCATCTGCAAGCGTTTGCAACGCAGGTGCCCCGCTCCGCACTCCTCCTGCCACTCCTCCTCACCGGGGAGGAGGAGGAGGAGGAGGAGGAGGAGGAGGAGGAGGAGGAGGAGGAGGAGGAGGAGGAGGAGGAGGGAGGAGGAGGAGGAGGAGGAGGAGGAGGAGGAGGGGGGAGGAGGAGGAGGGGGGAGGAGAGGAGGAGGGAGGAGGAGGAGGAGGAGGAGGAGGAGGGGGAGGAGGGGGGGAGGGTTGGCCCTGCTTTCCCCTGAGCAGTGTTTGACGGCCCTGCGGCCCAGAACCGCCCACGGGACGCCGCCGAGCGGCGAAACGCCTCTCCGACGCGATCTCCTCGAGCCGTCCGATAGGTGCGGGTGCCCATCCCCCCCGCCTCCTCCGGTCCTCCTCACGCCACGTGTTGCAGGTGAGCGTTGCCCCGGCGCGGCTCTGCACCTCCACCCCCTCCAGGGGTGGACGGGTGAACAGTGGTCGTGGAGCACTCAGGTTCATAATGATCTGCTGCGAAAAATCCAACTGCCATAGCAGCTGGCGCTACAGGCAACGCACCAACACGCTAATATTTTGGAAACGCGAAGAAGCACAACTGCGAACTGAAAGAAGAAGATCACGCACACTATATCGTCCGATCGGGATCGCGAAGCGCGCACATATCAATCGCTGCTTGAACAATGGACTAAGGCCTTGGCATGTGGAATCTCTGACCACGAGAATCTTGCAGTTCTCATGTGGCACTCCTTGCCGTCTACAGGGCTAACTCTCACGCCGATCGCGCCTATCTCCGCGACGGCGTCCCTGTCAAAACAAAATACGCTCACGAAGCCGTGCGTCTTCGAAACCGCAGGCTCGTAGCCCACAACGTACCCCAGGAGGTGCCCCTTGACGCGGATAAGGTGGCCCCACTTCTTGGGTTCGTGCAACCCCGTGGAGGTGCAGAAGCGCTTCTTGACGGGCAACTTCCTCGGGTGTCACGTGATCCCTCTCAGGACAGGCGAAAGATAGATGCCCTCCACACTCATGCCCACTGGCAACACTTATGATCCCGAGCTGGCTTCTCAGAGCCAGCAGTCCGCACCGAACGGAATCAGATCTCTCTCTATAGATATAGTTGTATATGCAAGTCTACATACATAAATACATATATATATATATATACATACCACATGCATGCATCACACATGTATACGAATTGGAACAGAGAAAGGGAGGAAACACGAGCGAGAGAGAGAGAGAGAGAGAGAGAGCGAGCGATAGAGAGCGAGAGAGAGAGAGAGAAATACACAGACAGACAGACAGACAGACAGACAGACAGACAGACAGACAGACAGACAGACAGACAGACAGACAGACAGACAGACAGACAGACAGACAGACAGACATACAGACAGACAGACAGACAGACAGTCAGACAGAAGACAGGCAGGCAGGCAGACAGACAGACAAGCACACACACACAAGGAAATCACTCAATAAAGAGAAAGAGGGAGGAATAGAGAGAGAGAGAGCGAGAGAGAAAGAGGGACCGACAGACAGACAGAGAGAGAGAGAGAGAACGAGAGAGAGAGAGGTAGCGCGCGAGAGAGAGAGAGAGCGTGACAGAGAGAGGAACGGTGGTCTGCCGATCTATTCACGCTGCCCCCTTATCCTCTCCACTGCCCTCCTTCCACCCTCCCCTCCACTTCCTCCCGCCTTCCCCCAACCCCACATTTATACATGTCTTTCTCTGCCACTGCTGCCTTCCAGTGGCGATGACAAGATGCTGCTGCCTCTCTTCTTCCTCCCCCTCCTCCTCTTCCACACTGCTGGAGCGCGAGTGTGGAATGACCCTGTGACTGATCTCGAGTCGTTACCACAGTCCGCCTTGGGCTGGGAGGGAAAAGGGGAGGGAGGATGGGCATCAGCAACAACAGCGCCTCAAACAATTTGCGCTCCAGCTCATGGCCATACGTAGGTCAGACAGGCCACGAAGTGATGGCGCATGCGACCCATGGCTTGGAGGGAGGCCTTGAAGGGAGGCGGAGGAGGAGAAGGAGGAGGAGGAGGAGGAGGAGGACCAACACTGGGAGGGGCATCGCCGCCCTGTCCAGCACGTATTCTGTCGACGCGCATGCAGTGCCGAAGTGTTCCCCTTCCTCCTCCTCCCCCTCCTCCTCCCCCTCCTCCTCCTCCTCATCCTCCTCCTCCTCCTCCTCCTCCTCCTCCTCCTCCCTGTCCTCCCTGTCCTGGGGGCTGTGCTCTCCGCACGCGCCCCTCCCGAGGTGGGGCTGTGGGGGGGGGGGACTCTGCGCGAGAGGGGCTGCTCACCAGTTCGAGCAGGAGATCGACTGCATCATTGATGTGCCCCACGATTGCTTCTGCGCCGAACGAGCCATAGACGCGTAGAATGTTCGGAGATCTACGAACATTCTGGCATATTTTGTTTGGCACTTCGACGGGAAAAACAGTTGTTGGGGCAACTCGATTCTGTAGCCGATCTCCTACTCGAAACACCGCGTGCAGCCTCAAAATGTGCTGATCTGGGCGCGGTCTCAGGCTCGACCCTCGCATCTCAACGCCGGGACAAAGAGCCAACGAATGTCTTTGCTGGTCCGTGTCCACACTGGAGCGCAGCTACGAAGGCGACAAACTGATCCATATAGAAATCATATTTTTCACTTCGCAGATATCTATCCGATATGTTTGCTGTATGTACATGTGAAATACATATACGAGATTCACAACTATATACATACCATTGCCCCTCACAGACGAACTTTGGTTTCGCCCATCCCCCCCACCCTTCCCATACCTCCTGGACGTTCCTGCATAACTTTCCCCGGGCCTTCCGGATCTTCTGGGCGCCGCCTGGGCCTTCCAACCGCGCCTATGGCGGTCAGGAGGGAGCCTGGATGCTGCCCAAAGGCCCTCCAAAAAACACAAAGGGCCGGAAGGTACCGTCCGCGAGGCTTCCAGGAGCGCTTCACAGCCTGCCAAAGATACCCCTGACAACCTATTATATGTGTTCAAATACAAAAGAACTGGTTTGGCTTCCTAAGCTCTTCGGCTCCAGATGGCACCAAGAGGGCCTCCGACAAGCCGAGATAAGCCCAAGATCGATCCAACAGACTACCAAGATAGCCCAGGATGGCCCCTAAGGGCTACAATTGTACCAAGACGGTCCAAGAGGCCTCCAAAGAGGCCCAAAAAGAACACAACCGCTTGCCGCCTATCAATCCAAACGGCCTCCGAAACAGCCGCAGGAGGCCCCCGAGAAGACCTAGAGAGCTCGAACAAAGAGGAAAGGGAGAAGAAGGAGGAGGCTGACGAGGAAGCCGAGGAGAAGGGGAAACGAGGAAGGGAAGATTAGCGTGGAATCGCAATTGCGTTCAAGACTGGGTGCCCATTTATAATTCCTTAGGGCACGGCTGAATGAATCGGGGGGCCTGAATCAAGATCCGAAGATGGGGAGGGAAAGAACCCGCGGGCCTGTCCAGGCAAGCAGCGGTTGAAAGGTCCGGGTTTTCGTCTTCCCCCCCCTTGTCCATATGTTCCTATATTTTCCTGCGAATTGACGGCTGATTGTGTCTGCGTGTTTTTTCCCCTCCTGATGCCGATCGGGCCTGGGGCTCCTGAGAGAGCGGCACCCTGAGGCGGGCGCGACTCTGCTGGGAGCCGCGGCCCACTGATTCTGTCGAAGGGGACGCGTCGGCCCCCCGTCCACGGGCGGGCGACCCCGGGATCTCGGGCCGTGCGCGGGCCAAGTGGGCCGAGTCCCACCGGTGGCATCGGGACGAGAGGCCTCCTGGGTTCCAGGGGGCCCAAGGACACACCAGCAAACACACCAGCAAACACACCAGCAAACACACCAGCAAACACACACACACACACCACACACACACCACACACACCACACACACCACACACACACACACCACACACACACACACACCACACACACACACACACACTCAAGTCCCAGGACTCCCCATATTGTTTTCCATGTCTTTGGGGGTTTTCGTCTTCCCCCCGCCCCACTTCCCAAAATTTCCTTCCCTTGTTTCCCATAATTTCGTGCGTGGGCCCAGTGGGTCCCACCAGTGGCATCAGGAGTAGAGGCCTCCTGGGTTCAAGGGGGCCCAAGGACACACCATCAAACACACACACACACACACATCCCGTGACTCTCCATAATGTTTTCCATATTCTTTGCTGCGGGCGACCCGTACCACAGGGCACACGTTCTACAACCCTCGGCAAGAGTAAACCGTCAGGGTTGCGGTCACTGCGAGGTGCTTGTATGCGCCGCTCCCCGATGTCGGTCATCATCGAACTTCCGAATCGTTCCCTGTCAGACCACTTTTGCCCTGGCCCCGACATTGGAGGGGCGTCGATCGACATTGAAGGGCGCGTCGACATCGCAGGGGCGTGGTCGCCATTTTTGAGGTTAATTTTGACGAGGGTAATAAGTTAAAGGGGCCCAAGGACACACCAACAAACGCACTCACGCGCACACACGCACACACACACACACACGCACGCACGCACGCAGGCACGCACGCACACGCAAACACAAACACACACACGCACACACACAGACACACAGGCACACAGACACACAGACACAAAGACACACAAACACACAGACACACAGAGACGCAAACACAAACACAAACACAAACACAAACACAAACACAAACACGAACACGAACACAAACACACACAAACACACACACCACACACACACACTCACATACACTCACATTCACACACTCACACATTCACACATTCACACATTCACACATTCACACATTCACACATTCACCAATTCACACATTCACACATCCACACATCCACACATCTACACATCCACACATCCACACATCCACACATCCACAGATCCACAAATCTGCAGATCCACAGATCCACAGATCCAAACGTTCACACGTTCACACAGTCACACATTCACACATTCACACATTCACACATTCACACATTCACACATCACACATTCACACATTCACACATTTACACATTCACACATCCACACATCCACACATTCACACATTCACACATGCACACATTCACACATTCACACATTCACACATTCACACATTCACACATCCACACATTCACACATTCACACATTCCCACATTCACACATTCCCACACTCACATATTCACACAGTCACACATTCACACATTCACACATTCACACATTCACACATTCACACATTCACACATTCACACACTCACACACTCACACACTCACACTCACACACTCACACACTCACACTCACACTCACACACTCACACACTCACACTCACACACAAACACACAAACACACACACACAAGCACACAAGCACACAAGCACACAAGCACACAAGCACACAAGCACACAAGCACACAAACACACACCCACACGCACATCCCAGGACTCCCCATAATTTGTTCTATACTTCCGCAGGCCGAAAGATTTTCCTCTTGAGCCCCACATGTCGGAAGCGACGCGCCGATTCCCTTTGTTCTCCTCCCACCTCCTCGTGCCTCTTCCCTCATCCTTCCCCTCTTCATCCTGGGAAGACCCCCCTCCCCCGTAGAATCATAGCATTGGTCTGCAGATCCACAGCTCCGTGGATAGCATGATGCTTCGCTTGCGGTGCTCCGCGGATCCCATTTCCCCTGGGTCCCGGATGTTAATTATTATTATACATTTATGCCCTGGAAATAAATCGATCCATCGATTTTTCACACGCAGGAAATTGGATCCGCGCAAAACAGAAACAGGACCCACGACACTCTCCCACGCCCGAAAAAAAGGATCCAATTGGATCCGTTGATGGTCTCATATTTCTAATCCAAGAGGAAAAACTTTCGGCCTGGGGATGTATTTTGAAGATTTCGTCTTTCTCCCCCCCCCATTTCCCATCATTTCCTTAGTTTCTTGGATATCCACGATTCATTGTGTCTGTGTGTTCTTCCCCTCCTGATAGATAAATGGGGGTCGGAGTAGATGGGGTCGGAGGATCGCGCCGCATCGCCGATACACCAGCGATGCATCGGCGATGCATCGGCCATGCACTGGCGAAGTCGGCGACATCCGCGACTTCGGTGTGGAGCAAATCGGGCCTCACATTGATTGGCGATACGGCGCGATCCTCCGACCCCATCTAGGAGCCCTACCAGGATACTCTGCGCAGAGGTCAGGGTCCAGTCGGGGTACCACCGCCGCTGAACTGGGATACCTGCTGCTCCCCCGCGGGAAGGACGCCAAGAGGGGCCATCGCGGCCAACGCCTCAGCCTGAGCATGGCAACGCACCAGGGGACAACGCCCCAATACGAATATGGCATCGCATTAGGGGTTAGATCGTCTCCCGGCAACGACAGCATACAACACACGCAACTGTTAGAACGCGGCCGGGACAAGATGAGGCAAGCTGCCAAGAGCAAGCTTGGCCCCAAACTCCTTCGGTCAATGCTCGCCCGGCGCCAGAAAAGAAAAAAACACATGAAGACAGGATGCGGCGCGCGTCTATCTGCTTCCCTTGGCTCCAGAGTGCGTAAGTGGAGCAGTTGGCTCCTTTTGTTCTCGAAGTGGTGGTACTTGATCAGGTACTCCTGCAAGTCCTGCACGGTGCCAGACCTCGTTGCAAGTGTAGCGCCTGGCGCCTTCACCTTGCAGAGTCTCAGCTCGACCTTCCTGTCGGGAGGCTTCGCAAAAACCTAAGGGGAGGGAAACCCAACCAGACTCGAGGAGACCCGGAATGATGTAGCACTTCACCCGCGTGCCCGCTTCGAACAAGAAGCGCCCAACGAGCGTCGGATTCTGAATCCGCCGGACCCCGCTTGCCGGGGGTCCTTGGGCGCGTGAAACAACTGGCTGCCCCCCTCCTCCTTTCCCTTCCCCGTGGGTCCAAAATCCCATTATAGTGTAGGGAGTTTGGGGTGGGGGGACGAGCTCGTCAACGCACCCCCCGGGGCCCTCGCAGCCTTCAAATCCAGGCTCCGTGGCTGCCAAGATGCTCGAAATGCTTTCTAATGTGGCCCTAGACGGGCTCCAATACGCCAGAGAGGCCCCAAGAACACTCCAGACACCCCAAGACGCCTCAAGAGGGCCCCAAGAGGACCCCCACGGGGGCCTCAAGAAGCAAACATCATGTATTCTCCATTGGTTTTCAACAGATCTTCGCGTTCTTGTTTTCTGGGCTTCTGAAAAGCCAGAACTGTTTCTTTCCCCCCCTACTCGTTCTCCTTCCCCTCCCCTACCTACCCGTGTGGGTCAGTTGTGGACCCATGGGTAGCCCTTGATTTTGCGTCGAAAATTTTGCAAGCACTGGTTTTCAGAGAAGATCCTTCTCTTCCTCCAACTCCTCCGTCTCTCATCCTCCTCCTCGTTCTCCCGATCTCCTCCTGGTCCTCATCCTCCGTTACAATTACACGTTATGAACCCGCCACCGTGCCTGCACGGAGTGGGCGTGTTAGAATGCTCGTCTGTTGTCTGGTAGGTTTCTTACAAGTTTATACCCCGCTGGCTGGCGCGCCCCCCTCGAAAACCGCCCCCTCTGAAATGGCATTCTGGCGTTTTCGTCGGCCTCCAGGCGGCCAAGATGGCCTCCAAGACGGCTTCCAAGACAGTCAGTATGACAAGAGCACGGCTCAAGATGGCCCAAGACAGTTCAAGAGCCTCGCAAGACAGTCTCAAGACGGCCCATGAGGTTCCCAAGATTGCCTATGAAGGCTCCAAAAGGCCTCCAAAACTACCCGAGAAGCTTCAATGGGCCTTCCGGGAGAGCCCGAGGGGGCTCAAACCATTGACTTTCTCAAGGATTTTGACAGAGTTTGAGGTTCTCGCCTGTTCGGGTTTTCGACCACCTAAGACGGCCCAAGAGGCTTCCAAGAGGCCTCCGAGAGGCCTCTAAGATGACTCCAAAACAGCCCAAGAGACCTCCAAGAGGGCCCCAAGTCGGCCCAAGAGGACCCACATTTCGCCGAAGGGGCCCTCAAGGAGGGCCCCAAGACGGCCTTGAAGCGCTCCACGAGAGCAACTAAACGGCCGTGAGAGGCCTCTTGGGCTGTCTTGGGCGGTCGGACCCAAACATGCCATAACCTCAAATCCTTCAAAAACCTAACGCAACTCAATGGTATTGGCTTCCTCGGGCTCTCCAGAGGTCCTCTTGGAGAACTCTTGGGCCGTCTCGGGGACCTCTTGATCTGTTTTGAGGCCTTCTTGGGGGCCTCGCGGCATCCAGGACGGCTTTCAAGGCATCCAAGCTCACGCCAGGATGACCCAGTATGGCCCACGAGGCTCCCAAGACAGCCTCAAGACAGATCAGGATCCCTCCAAGACGGCCCAAGAGGTCTCCAAGAGGCCCTGCTCGAGAGCCCGAACAGGCCAACACCATTGATTTCCTGTAGACTGTTGAATGGTTTTGAAGTTCCCACCTGTTCGGGTTTCAGACCGCCCAAAACGGCCCAGGAAGCCTCCAAGAGACTTCCAATATAGCTCCAATACAACCCCCAAAAAACCCAAGAGGGCCCGACATCGGCCCGACAGACAAGTGCGAATTGTTTCCTTAAATTTGGTTTCTGAGGAGGGGGCGGGCACGGAGGGGAGAGGAGGTCAGGGCTGGGGGGCAAAGCAGGCGACGCGGGGTCGCCGGGCCCGCGGGCAGCTCAGGCCACGATGCGACGTCAAAGGACTGTTCCGCCGCTCGCCCTGGGCGGCCCTCGTCGCTGCAGCTGGACTCGTGTCGGAGTTCTGGCCGCAACGCGCCCTGGGAGCGGTCCAGGGACTGGCTGCATCGGCGCCGCTTGGGTTGGAAGAAGCCATGCGGCCAAGGGGGGGGGCTCGGGGCCCAGCCGCCCTCTTGTAAGACTAGATAGTTAAAGGTGCCCGTCTGCTCCAGGGCGCAGGGGCATATTTATGCCGCGCACCACCTTTCATTCATATGATGACAAGAAGAAGGGCGGCAAACCCGTGATCGCCGACCCGTGTCGTTGTATCATGTCTGGCGCCCGACCGCGGTGGTTCCAGCTTGGTTCCACGATGGTTCCGAGAGGTTGACGTATCACGAAACAATATGAATTCACAGGGCTCCTGCGTGGTTCCACGATGGTTTCGACGTCGCAAGATTGACGAAGCCATACGAATTCACAGGGTTCCTGCTTGGTTCCACGATGGTTCCGACGTCGAACATATGACGAAACCGTATGAATTCACAGGGTTCCTGCTTGGTTCCACGATGGTTCCACGATGGCTCCGACGTCGCAAGATTGACGAAACCGTATGAATTCACAGGGTTCCTGCGTGGTTCCAAGATGGTTGGTTCCACGATGGTTCCGACGCCGCAAATTGACGACACCTTATGAACTCACAGGGTTCCACGATGGTTCCACCATGGTTCCGACATCGCAAGTATGACGAAGCCATACGAATTCACAAGGTCACTGCGTGGTTCCACGATGGCTCCGACGTCGAAGATATTACGAAACCGTGTGAACTCACAAGGTTCCTGCGTGGTTCCACGATGGTTCCACGATGGTTCCGACGTCGCATGTACGACGACACCTCATGAATTCTTCAGGTTCGCCCTCTGCCGCACTGGAAGCGCACCCGTTCGGCGAAGCACATGTTGGATTTTTAATGTTGCGTATCATTCCCCAAACAGCTTGCTGAACGGGGTGCTGTTGTGATAGAAGCTAACTCCGGCCGAGGGAAGTCGGAGCAGAGACATCCTCACAAAAATTTGATGGTCCGGGCCGTTTCGCTTGAGACATCCTCACAACTCTCGTTTCTGAGTTGGCCGGGATTGGCCATTTCGCCTGAGACGTCCTCGAAAAGTTGCGCTCCGGGACGCCGCTCGAGAGGTGGTCAGGGCCGTTTCGCTTGAGACATCCTCGAAACTCTGAGCCCCGAGGTGCCGTGCGAGAGGTGGTCCGGGCCGTTTCGCCTGAGACATCCTCAAAACTCTGAGCTCTGAGATGCCCTGCGCGAGGTGGTCTGGCCCGTTTCGCCTGAGACATCCTCGAAACTCTGATTTCGGAGATGCCGCGCGAGAGGTGGTCCGGCCCGTTTCGCCTGAGACATCCTCGAACTTCTGAGCTCAGAGATGCACTGCGCGAGGTGGTCCGGCCCGTCTCGACTGAGACATCCTCGCAACTCTGAACTCTGAGATGCCGTGCGCAAGGTGGTCCGGCCTGTTTCGCACTAGACATTCTCGCAACTCTGAGCTCCAAGATGCTGCGCAAGAGGTGGTCCAGCCTGGGGGCCCAGAAGACCACATGTTACATATCCTCCCTGGGACCCTGAGCCCGCCTGAGACATCCTCGAACTTCTGAGCTCTGAGATGCCCTGCGCGAGGTGGTCCGGCCCGTCTCGCCTGAGACATCCTCGCAACTCTGAGCTCTGAGATGCCGTGCGCAAGGTGGTCCGGCCCGTTTCGCACAAGACATTCTCGCAACTCTGAGCTCCCAGATGCCGCGCAAGAGGTGGTCCAGCCTGGGGGCCCAGAAGACCACATGTTACATATCCCCCCTGGGAGCCCCAGGAGGCCCCAGAGAGCTCCAGGAGGCCGCAGGACGCCCAGGACAGGCCCCAGGGGTCCCCAGGAGATTCCCAGGAGGCTCCCAGGAGGCCTCCCTATCAGAACGTGTCAAGTTGATACACATCCGGTGTCGATTCGTTGATTTGTCCTGCTCTTGTGCCCCCCCCTCCATTTTGAGAGGCCCAAGCGGCCACAGGTTAGATATCCCCCCTGGGCGCCCCAAGAGGCTTCAGGAAACCCCAGGTGGAGTTGAGGAGGCCACAGAAGGCCCAGGAGGAAGCCCCAGGAGGTCCCCAGAAGGCCCCAGGAGGCACCAGGAGGCCCCCGCAACTCGGAGCTCTGAGACGCCGCGCTCGAGGTGGTCTGGCCCGTTTCGCCTGAGACTTCCTCGCAGCACGTTTCGCCCGAGACACTGGCCCGTCTCGCCTGAGACATCCTTGCAACTCTGAGCTCTGAGATGCCGTGCGCAAGTTGGTCCGGCCCGTTTCGCACAAGACATTCTCGCAACTCTGAGCTCCCAGATGCCGCGCAAGAGGTGGTCCAGCCTGGGGGCCCAGAAAACCACATGTTACATATCCCCCTGGGACCTGGGAGCCCCAGGAGGCCCCAGAGAGCTTCAGGAAGCCGCCGGACGCCCAGGACTGGCCCCAGGGGTCCGCAGGAGATTCCCAGGAGGCTCCCAGGAGGCCCCAGGAGGCCCCCTATCAGAACGTGTCAAGTTCAGAAACATCCGGTGTCGATTCGTTGATTTTTCCTGCTCTTGTGCCCCTCCCCCCCCCCATTCTGGGGGGCCCCGACGGCCACATGTTAGATATCCCCCACTGGGAGCCCCAAGAGGCTTCAGGAAGCCCCAGGTGGGGTCCAGGAGGCCACAGGAGGCCCAGGAGGAAGCCCCAGGAGGTCCCCAGGAGGCCCCAGGAGGCCCACGCAACTCGTAGCTCTGAGACGCCGCGCTCGAGGTGGTCCGGCCCGTTTCGCCTGAGACTTTCTCGAAGCACGTTTCGCCCGAGACATCGTCGCAACTCTGGGGTACGAGATACCGCGCGCGAGGTGGTGCAGCCTGTTTCGCCTTAGACATCCTCGCAACTCTGGGCTCCGAGATGCCCTGCGCGAGGTGGTCTGGCCCATCTTGCCTGAGACATCCTCGCAACTCTGA